CTGTTCCTTTATTTTTTCAATACTTTCCCCGCATCCTCTCATACATTTAAGGTTATACGTCTGGAAGAGTTAATATATGCAACTTTTTAAATTAACATGTTTAACTTACTTTTCGAATTCGCCTCATTTAACTTTCAGCCCTTTCAAAAAGCAAAACAGTGTACAAGTTGCAAAGAAAATGTAACTCGTGTGAAATCGCAGTTCTGGGAAGGTGGAAAAGGATGCCGTAATCAAGCTCTCATGAGCAGGTTATCTCGTTTTTGCAACACTTTTGTACGTGTCTGACCTATGGATGCTAGGACTAAAGCATGTGTTTTGTCCCCTAAAAAGCTGAAAATTTAGGAACAGAAGTGGGAATCAAATTTGCTTGCATTGCTTAGATGAAATAGAAAATCATGCCTTTTTCTCAAAAAAAAAAAAATAGAAAAAGAAAAAAAAAACAGTAGAAATGATCACCGGTTCGTTGATCTGCAACTTCGACTTCCCGAATTGTGTATTATCTCTCAGCTGTGGTTTGAATTTTTTACTAACAGAAAAATTTTGCAGAAATGATACCCGAAAACATACGAATAGTCTAATGAAAACGGTCTCCAAGAAGCATGCTGCGCATTTAGCCGTCAAGAAGAATGCTGCAGAGAAAGATTGATTGTTCATCCTGTAAAATAATCAACGTAGCTTTGTGTTTGGTGCGTAAACATTCCCCAGAACTTCAGAATATTGGTTGAAACACAAGTGACTTTTCGGGGGGGAAGAAGGGGGGAGGGGAAGGGGAGGGAGGGAGGAGAGGGGGACATGCTTTTTTTTGCAAACCTTTTCAAAATGCCTGATTCGAATACTCAATATATATAGGTACGTGTATTTTCGGGCCGTATGAATTATATGTTTAAATATATGTGCATGAAATATATGTATTTTAAATATTTATATTATTTCCTAACAGATCAAGTGATATTTATCAAAGCGGCTTAATGACGAATCTGTTGGAATTGCCGTTTTTATTACGATACGAGCTAATAACTGTGATTCGCGGGAAATTAAAAGCTCCCTTTTCTAGCAAAATTCCAGAAAAAATCCAAGCTTCCTGTAATTCTGGAGCAGTCCCGGAAAAAAAACTATAGCAATCGTTTGTCTTGTTTATATATAAATGTGCACTGTTTGCATTAAAACTGAAACAATTAGACATCGCCTGTATGCAAAGGGGCTTTACCATCTCATAATTTAGGATTTGAAGGGTTGTAAGTTTTAAAAATATCAAAATTTTGATATCATTTCTGATTGAGCAAGAAAGTTTCGTTCTGAATTAGCTCTTTTAACTCTTAAATTCTGTATTTTTTCGCATTTCGACGAGTCCTTGCATCTTCTGTTGTACAATACGGGACCTCATGCCTTCTGTGATACACATTTCCTTTTGTCCAAAGTATGCTTGCATTGTGCGTTGTATTTTCGAAAAACAACGATTCCAATTAACTGTTGTGCACCGAGTTACTGAGAGCAGCAACACTTGTAATAAAATTTTTCAAAATAATTCATCAATTACTAAAGAATCAATGGATTTTCGGCTTTATGTAGCTCCAGTTTTTTCTGGATTTTCGATTTTGAGGGAAAAACATTCGAAGTTTTATTTGTCGTTCAGGCTGCTACGGTCCGGGAAAAATGAGACCGATGAGC